TGGCTTAAGTATTGTGAAACCCAGAGAACAGTTTGCGCTAAACAATATAAACATTCAAAATCCAAGTTTCTAAACAATATTAGCAAGTGGAGAACTTGAACTATCATCTAAAGCATCAGCATCTAATGTCGAGAAAGTGGAAGCGGGGAAAAGGACAGAGTGCGCGCTTAGTGCCTGGACTCACGAGAGATCTGCACAGAAAATTTCTTCACATAGAGAACTAGCACAGAAAAAAGATGAAGCCGCATCAAATATCGCTCATGACTTTTTGGCTAATTCAATGTCAGGTTCATAAAGAGCAGATCGTCAATCTGTTTTCAGATTTATGTAGAAAAATTTTCTGGAGAATTGTAGGGAATACTTTTTTCATAAAATAAGCAGCAATATAAGAGATATTTATCCCAAGAAACGTTTGAGAAAATTGTAAAATATTCTATTCAGCAACTACACAAGTAATAATTTACGAGAGAATTAAGCCCTTCACATTCGTCGAATGATTCCAAGTAGAGGAAAACTTTTTTCGCAGATAATGTATGACAAAGGCGAGCTCTCTGTCCCTCTGCCGAACCGTCACAGGTCCCGAGTACCAAACAGTAAGCAAAACAACTTTTGCTCTTCGAATACGTACATAAAGAAGCTTTTTGAATAAAATAATCAATCCGATTATATACTTACAGCACCCGATCGTAAATGGTGCGAATAGCGAAGGAACAGCACGTAGATTGCAACCTCTAAAATTCTCCAAAGCAAATACCAAACTAGACAGGTTCTCCTAAACTTTTGCGATTAGATGCTATGCGAGGCCTAAGCATAACCGGAAATGCTGCTGAATTTCAGATTAACTATATGTCTACAACGCTTTGCGGGTTTTGACCTACATACTCGCATATAAACCTCTCCAGGGTATAAACTCATTTTCACTAACGTTGTGCTTACGGTGGTCGTGGTTGATTTCCTTAACGTCATAAGGTGAGCTGTCTTTTATAGGCTTTCAAAGCAAAACTTGTTTAACTTTGAGAGTTTTGCCTGCAAGCGATGAAGACGTTTGGGAGGGTAC